AAAAAAAAAAAAAAAAAAAAATCTCATTTTACCTATACAAAGAGCGAGGCCCAGAAAGCTCAAGACACTTGCCCAGGGTCACACAGCAACAGTCTCCAGGGCCCACACTGCCTGTATCTCTTGTAACTCTGTATGGTCCTGATAAGGAACACGTGTCCCAGGCTGGACCCTGTCTGAGCCCGCTTCGAGTCCCATCCCTGCCCAGCCCCGGATGTCCAGCTTGGCCATGTGGGGTGGGGCAGGGGAGGGAAGGGAGGCTGGGCCCAGAGCCCGTAGTGCCCGCACTCACCAGCACGCGGTCCCCCAGGCGCAGGTCCTTGTCACCCCGCTTCACAGAGCCGCTGTCCGAGAGGTTGGAGCCCGACTCGTTGCCCGTCTTCACGGAGCTGTTGAGGACACTCTCCCGCAGGGGGATGACGCGGCTGGTCAGCGGGGGTGTGGCCGTGCCCGAATGCAGTGACAGGTTCTGGGCAGTCAGCGACTCCACGGAGTGGGCATCGCTACCCGAGCCCTCGGCCGTGGGCTGCCGGGTCAGCTTGGAGGGCCGTGTGAAGATGCCCTGGAGAGCCGGGCACTCGAAGTAGCGCACGCCACCCACCGCGCCGTCATTCTTGCCCACCGGGTCATCCAGCACCACGCCAGCCCACTGGCCCGGCGCAAACTGCGTCTCGCCCAGGTACTGCACCACGCCTGGCTTCACGCCGTTCACCCACACCCGCTCGCCCACCACAAAGTCCCCCAAGAAGTCATCGCCCACTTCGGCCGCCTTGGGGCCTGGCTTCTCGGGGGCGGCAGCTGCGGCCGCGGAGGAGGAGGGTCCCGATGACTGCTTGTGTAGCGGGGAGCCTGCGGAGAAGGAGAGGGAAAAGGTGGCTGTTAGGGCTGGCTGGGACTGGCCCCTGGGTGGCCCCAGGAGCACAGAGTCTAGGGTTGGGAGGTGGCTGATTTGTATTTTTGGTAGAGATGGGAATTCACCATGTTGGCCAGGCTGGTCTCAAACTCCTGACCTCAAGTGATCTGCCCACCTTGGCTTCCCAAAGTGCTGGGATTACAGGCATGAGCCACCACACCCAACCCATATTTATTTACTTTTTGAGACAGGGTCTTGGTCTGTCACCCAGGCTAGAGTGCATTGGTGAGATCATGGCTCACTGCAGCCTTCACTTCTGGGGCTCCACAATCCCCCGACCTCAGCCTCCTGAGTAGCTGAAACCACAGACAGCTGCCACTACAATGGGCTGAGTTTTGTATTTTTTGTAGAGACGAGGTCTCACCATGGAAACCGAGGCAGGCATGGTGGGCTGTCTCCCCCACTATTCCAGCCCTCCAGGCAGTCCCCAGGAAAGTACGCCCTCAGAAGCAGTGTTTTCAGGCTGGGTGCAGTGGGTTATGCCTGTAATCCCAGCATTTGGGAGGCTGAAGCAGCTGGATCACCGGAGTTCGAGACCAGCCTGACCAACATGGTGAAATCCCGTCTCTACTAAAAATAAAATAATTAGCCAGGTGTGGTGGCACGCGCCTATAATCCCAGCTACGTAGGAGGCTAAGGTGGAAGGATCACTTGAACCCAGGAGGTGGAGGTTGCAGTGAGTTGAAATCATACCACTACACTCCAGCCTGGAGGAAAAAGAAAGACTTCATCTCAAAAAAAAAAAAAAAAGCAGCAGTAGCGGCAATGGCTTCCCACTGCCCAAGGCAAGGAAACTCCAAGTCCCCGGCCAGGGATGAAGCCGTTCTCAAGGATTACGAGCCACTTCCCCACTGGGTGGGCTCAGGTCCTCAGCTGTTGACCCGAGATCCCCCCCACCGTGGCCCCCATATGGGGCCCAGGTGTTGTGCAAGTGGTCAATGAGACCCCCATCCTCATCCTCGGACAGTGACAGGGCCCACAAATGGCTCCCAGCCTGTTTCCTTATAGAGGGACACAGCCACAGACTTCCTGCATAAAGACGTCCCCTTCTGTCTTTCTTGGGAAAGGAAAGAAAACCCTAGTACCTCTCTCCTGGGCCTTCCCATCTGTTCCCTCCCCAAGCTGCAGCCAGCCTAAGGCCTCAGGGTCCACAGACCCAGGAAAGTGGAAGGGTGGCTAGGGTCACAAGCAGTGTGGGCAGCCTAGTAAGACCTCATCTCTCCAAAGAATAAAAAATATATAGAAAGAAATAAAATAATTAAAACAGCAGCTGCATTTATGTAGTGCTAACTGCATGCTCCTCAATGGATGGGGCACTTTTTTTTCTTTTTTTTTTGGAAACAGTCTCCATCTGTCACCCAGGCTGCAGTACAATGGCACGATCTTGGCTCACTCCAACCTCTGCCTCCCAAGTTCCAGTGATTCTCCTGCCCCAGCCTCCTGAGTAGCTGGGATTACACGCATGTGCCACCATACCAGTCTATTCATTGTAAGCATACATTATATTCTTACCTTGCAGATTTGGAAACAGGATAAGAGACGTGCTCAGGTCACCCAGGCCGAGTAGGGTCCAGCTGATCTGGCTTTGGAATCCTCCCTCTTTTTTTTTTTTTTTTTTTTTTTTTTTTTTTGAGACAGTCTCACTCTGTTGCCCAGGCTGAAGTTCCCAGGCTGGAGTGCAATGGCGCGATCTCTGCTCATTGCAACCTTTGCCTTCCGGGTTCAAGCCATTCTCATGCCTCAGCTTCCTGTAGCTGGGATTATAGGCACGCGCCACCATGCCAGGCCATTTTTTTCTTTTTAATTTTAGTACAGATGGGGTTTTGCCATGCTGGCCAGACTGATCTCAAACTCCTGGCCTCAAGCGATCCTCCAGCCTCGGCCTCCCAAAGTGCTGAGATTATAGGTGTGAGCCACTGCGCCTGGCCAGAACCCTCCCTCTTGACCACTCACACAGGGGGTGCCTGGCAGGTGCCAGCTCCTACCCCATATCCATTTCCTTTTTTTTGAGATGGAGTTTCACTCTTATCGCCCAGGCTAGAGTGCAATGGTGTGTTCTCAGCTCAGGGCAACCTCCGCCTCCAGGGTTCAAGTGATTCTCCTGCCTCAGCCTCCTGAGTAGCTGGGATTACAGGTACGTGCCTCCATATTCAGTTAATTTTTGTATTTTTAGTAGAGACAGGGTTTTCACCATGTTGGCCAGGGTGGTCTCGATCCCTTGACCTCATTATCCACCCGCCTCTGTCTCCCAAAGTGCTGGGATTACAGGCGTGAGCCACCGCATCTAGCCCCCCATATCCATTTCTAGGGCCCTTTCCTGTGCAGAGAGAGCTCTGTGACCTCTAGTAACTGAACAGAACCATGGTAGTTCAGGTAAGGCCTGTTTCTACCTGCCCCCTGTGCAGGGAGCCCAGAGAAGGGTCCCCAGGTTGAAGGTAACCCAGCATGGCTATTCCTGGTGAGACGCTGCCTGTTCAGCTGTCCTGTCCCCAGCTGTCCCGGCCCAGTGGACCCTCAGGTCATCTCTCCCTGACTCTCGCCCCTCCCAGGAGTCACAGGCCCAGGGACCAGTTGTTTCAACAGCTGCAAAAATCCAAGCCACGAGCCCATGGCAACTGCACATGGGCACTTCGCTTCATTCTTCCTCTTAGCAGGGGGACCCTCAGCTGTCCCTGCATCACACGGACAAAACCCTCTTCAGATTCCCTGCATGCTGAGGTGTTTTCAGCTTCCCGCAGTTGGGAAACCATGGGAAATTCCCCCTCCCTCCAGGGAGTCAGCAGAGACACACTGGTTTGGCCAGGGCCAGCCAAGTGGATGGTTTTCCAAGTGGCTCAGTTTCCTCATAACATAATGAAGGACGAGGTCAGAAATAGGAAGGGTCGGCCAGGCACGGTGGCTCACGCCTGTAATTCCAGCACTTTGGGAGGCCAAGGCAGGTGGATCACCTGAGGTCAGGAGTTCACGACCAGCCTGACCAACATGGAGAAACTGTGTCTTTAACAACAACAACAAAAAAATAGCTGGGCATACTGGCGGGCGCCTGTAATCCCAGCTACTCGGGAGAGGCAGGAGAATTGCTTGAACCTGGAAGGCGGAGGTTGCAGTGAGCTGAGATGGCGTCATTACATTCCAGCCTGGGTAACAAGAGCGAAACACCGTCTCAGGAAAAAAAAAAACATACACATACAAAACAAAAAAACAAACAAAAAAATTAAAATAAACCTCCTACATGTAGTTGATCCATTCCCTAGACAGTGATTCCCATTCAGACAAGAGACACAGGGGAATTTACTCCAAGTTTCAAGTTCAAAGCATGACAAGGGCCTAAGGACACCAGGGAAGGGGGCCACAGCTGGCAGTGTGGTCCTGCAGTGGGTGGGGATAATGAGGGCGCCCAGATGACGCATTCTTCCCTCCGCCTTGGAGGATGCAAGTCCTGCCCTGCCTGAGGAAGAGGGGACTGGCCTTTTCCATTCCTGCCCAATCTCACCAGCAGGGACCCCATTTCCTGAGACCTACTAGGTCAGACCCTGTGTCAGACACTGTGGACAACAGGCACGGCCAAACAGGGCCCGGCAAGGGGATAGAGTGTGGATGCCAGCAGCTTCAATTCAGCTCACTGGGTCACCTATGTAAGTGAGGAAGGGACCCAAAGTGTGGGACCCAGGGGAGGGGGAGAGGGGCTCCTCCTTGAATGGGGGTGTGGGTATTTCCCATGACCTCTTGTCTCAGAAAGACAGAGCTGGCTCCCCCATCTCCTCAGAGAAGCCTTTCATGACTGCTTTATCTAAAACTCATCACCCCGGCCAGGCACGGTGACTCACGCCTGTAATCCCAGCACTTTGGGAGGCCGAGGCAGGCAGATCTTGGGGTCAGGAGATCGAGACCATCCTGGCTAACATGGTGAAATCCCGTCTCTACTAAAAATACAAGAAATTAGCTGGGTGTGGTGTCAGGCACCTGTAATCTCAGCTGCTCGAGAGGCTGAGGCAGGAGAATTGATTGAACTGGAAAGGCAGAGGCTGCAGAGAGCTGAGATCATGCCACTGCACTCCAGCCTGGGCGAGACAGTCTCAAAAAAAAAAAAAAAAGAAAGAAAAGAAAAAGAAACAAACAAATTGATCCCCATTTGCTCCACTCAGTCAAGATCGAGACCTGCCTCCTCGAGGACCTCACAGCCAACATCCTCAACCCACAGGGGCTCCTTCCTCAGCCCTGGCCAAAGCTCCCCACCACCCTCCCCAGCTCAGGAGGCCCTGCACCCACCCATGCGCTCAGGCTGCAAACTCCAGCGCTCTACCGGCTCACTCTTCCCCCAGTCTAGCAATTCCACAGAAGAAATCGCTCCTAATTCATTTATGCCTCCTTCTCAGGGCTCAGAGGCTCACCTAACATTTTTTTTTTTTTTTTTTTAGATGGAGTCTCGCTCTGTCACTCAGGCTGGAGTGCGGTGACACGATCTCGGCTCACTGCAACCTCCGCCTCCTGGGTTCAAATGATTCTCCTGCCTCAGCCTCCTGAGTAGTTGGAATTACAGAGGCCCACTACCACACCCAACTAATTTTTTGTATTTTTGGTAGAGACAGGGTTTCACCATTTTGACCAGGCTCAGCTCGAATTCCTGACTTCAGGTGATCCACCCACCTCAGCCTCCCAAAGTGCTGGGATTACAGGTGTAAACCCAGCCAGAAATAAAATATTTTCAAAAGAAAAAATAAAATAAGGGAACGCATTCTTTGGCCTATTTCCAAAGGAAATAATTCAGAAAGGAAAAAAACTGACTATCTTGACCTTCACACACACACACACAAACCTGAATCTCAGTCCCTGCAAACTGAGGAGCAGTGACATAAATTACGTTCACATCATTCAGATTATTAGGCAACCTTTAAAACATTATTTGTCCAGGTTCTGTGGGACAGGGTTTATGACG